GACCATCCAAATCCTAGGGTGACCACTCCATGATCTGTGCCTTGGCAAAATGCTTGTGATCAATCATCAGCTTGACTTCAGAATCATATAGGCAATAAATAGTAAGGGATTCTTCTGGGTCTATATGTGGGAATGTTTTCAGGGCAGATGACCAACCCTGATTACAGTGGCATCATCCCACAGTCTGGGAGCCCAGACATAATATGGATTGCTTTTTGGCTCTGATGGACTGGACCTGTGGGAAGGGCCCTCTAAAGAGAAAAGAGAAGAAAAAAGGGAGCATGCTTTAGTCAGGGCCTTCCTTCTCTCCTCCCTGCCACCTGGGTGCTGCAGTGTCACAGTGATGCCATCGCACCCACGGAGGCTTAGAGTCACAAATGCCCCATGAGAATGCATATTGCTACATAAGGGGACAAAGGGTTAAAAATGTATACAAGGCAAAGCCTTGCATGCAGGGCTCAGCCTTTAGCCATGAATCTGCCGAACATGTGCCAGCACAAATAAATCCGTTTCCTAGCAGAAAAGCCTCCATGTCCTGTGTCCCTTTCTGAGAATCCCATTCCAAACCCTTTTCTGCCATGAGACAAACTTGAAAGGTCTTGGATTCAGGTCCAGTACAGATGATAAGTTGTTGGGTGCTAAAGTGTTTATTAGAGGACTCATTAACACGTGGACACAGATAACAGCGTGGATGCAGAGGCTCTGCACAAGTGGGAATCTTTTATAGCTTTCTGAACATGAGGGGTTTTTTTCTCAGCAGGACCCTGAAGTCTGGCTCTGATTCCCAGTCAGGGAAGTGGGTGGAGGGCAGAATGTGAGGCCATTAAAAGCCCCTTTGGTGTAGACTCACCTCCCCAAGTGAGAAAGTCTGTTAAATGGAGATTCCTGGACAAGGCTTCAGTGGTGCCTCAGGCAGCACCTGGGAGGAGACTTGTTGTGGTTACCTGTGGCTGAACAGCAGTCTGCCTAGATTCTAACATTACATTCTGACAAGAATAACTACTTCCTTCTTTTAGTTATTTCTGCTAGGTTCTTAGTCATAGCAATCCAAGGGAGTTAACAGAAAACTCAGCCCTCTGTGTCTGCTTGTTCATCTGTTAGGCTGAGAACAGAACAGTTTCTTCCTCGACAGACACTGAAGGTGAAATGAGCTAACCCAAATAAAGTCCTTAAAGATGGCTCAGGGCACAGTAAATGCTATGAAATGTTAGGGTTATGTTTATAGTCATTATTCTTCCGATTAAACCACACACACTTTCTTAAGAGCCATTTATTTGTGACTGTGACTTTTTCTCCAAAAACCCCAGAGTTGAATGGAATGTTTAGCTGACCACCAGCAGCCATATGGTCCCTTTGTCTTCCAGGGATAGTCAGAAAATAAGCGTCTAGGCTCCAAAACAGAGATGGGTTCAGAAAGACCATGAACCATCTGCTGCTCAGACGTGCTGTGTTTAAGAGAATTGAACAAAGAAGTATCTATTTGGTTTTAACTAACACAGTAGTTAAAAACTTAAAGACAAATCCTGGGAATAGTGGTGCATGTCTGTGATCCCAGGATCCAAGAGGCTAGGACAGGAGGATGGCAAGTTCAAGGCCAGCTTGGGTCATATGAAGAAACCATGGCTCAGGAGAGGAAAGAGAGAGATGGACAGAGGGAGGTAGGGAGGGAGGGAGAGAGAGAAAGGAAGAGAGAGAAAGGAGAAGGAGAGAGAATGGAAGTACATTAAGTTATGATGGGAACTGTGAGCTAAAAACTCAAAGGGGAAGGTTCATTTCCCAGATGATGACTGGAGGTGTCAGCGGACTCCCTGGGCTTACATTTTCTTTGTTGTGAGTGAGTCCGGAGATTCAGTAAGGAGACTAAAGTTTTCCTGTTCAGTAGCACTAGTTCCTCAATCCCTGGTAAAATGCAAACTTTGGAATAAAAGCACCTGACTTCAGTCCCTAGGGAACTCACTCCAGAAAAAATGAGCCCATCACAAGTGAGAGACTGGAGGTGAAGGCTGGAGAGAACACAGTGTCAGAATTTCCCATTTATACCCTTCATCTGTCAGGTCAGGCCCAATCATACTACAGAAACAAATTATGTTATTCCAGATAAATACCATGTGGGCCCCTGGCCTCATCTGCCACAGGTCTGAGACTCACAGAAGTCTTGCAGAAAACAGTACCTATCAGAATTGAAAGTAGATGCCTCAATTTGACCATAGGAAAAGCCACAGTGATGGAAGGCATGAGGGAGAGCAATGATGACGAGCCACCTGCTGAATAAATCAAACGACAACACTGGGTGACAGACGCAGGTGTCTAACACATAGCCCACAAGAACTATAAGTGTGGCCCAAGACAAAAAAAAATCTATGAACTTACTTAAGAGTGACGATTATTTATTTAATTATTTACTGGGAATGAGTATTTTCCTACATGTGTGTATGTGCCCCGTGTGCATGCCTGGTGCCTGCAGAGGTCAGAAAAGGGCACAGCTCCCCTCAAACCAGAGTTACTGATGGGAACTGAATTCAGGGTCTCCCCAAGAGTAGCCAGTGATCTAACCTACTGAGCATGACATCACCAGAGCATGACATTTGTGTGTGCAGGGGAGTTTTTGGTAACATGTTTGTGTGGACCTCAAACATGAACTTTGTAGAGAACAAGATTTTTTTCACAGTGTCACACAAAACAAATTCATGTGCGCCCTCACCATTTACATGCATGCATGGCCTCAGATAAACCGTGTGCAGTTTCCAAGCACAGCGGGTCAGATTGGCACTACCAGACAGTACATATGTTCATGGTTACATGTGCTCATGGTGACTTGACACGTGAAACTGGGCAGTTAGCCATACTGTTGTAACCCTCCACTGCTGAGGATATTGTTTGATGTTACATTAAAGGTAGTTAAGTGTCCTTATTTCATATTTAACATATGTCCATGCCTTGGCCATACCCTCTTCATTGCCCACAACACTTTACTATTGGCTGCCCACTTAAAGCATTGAGTGTAGTACGAATAATGATAACTCTGACTCAGATATTGGGGCTCAAGCTGAAGATCAGAAAAGCAAAGCAGCCAGACACTAGTTCTTACCTCTGCCTCACCCTGAAAGAGTGATCCTGGCTCTGTGAATCCTCAGAGTGCAACATGCTCTCCACGAGTCCTCAGAGGCGATGCTCTGAGTTTCTATCTTGGCCTGTCTTAAATTCCCCTCTCCACCCAGCCATATCATTCCTGTCTCTTACCTCCCTACTGCTGGTTTTAAAGGTGTGTGATCCCAAATGCTGGAACTAAAGACATGAGTTCTGTTACTCTTTTAGACTGATTTACTCTAGAGTGGCCCAGGGTGATCTTGGACTCACTGAGATCCATCTGCCTCTGTCTCCTGAGTCCTGGGGTTAAAGGTATGTACCACCATTGCCTGACCTCTATGACTTATGACTAGCTTTGCATTCTGAACTATTAAATCATAAACAACATCACAGCTGAGATGTGCAAGGGTCTAGGTGCTTTGTATTTTCCTGTCAATTAATTTTCATAGTCAAAATATATAGGTTTGTTGCTCATTAGTTTTTCATCTCATCATGCCTCAACTCTCGATTTAAACATTGTTTTATATGTATTTACTTATCTGTGTCTGAGGCAGAGGTAAATGCATGCATGTGACACAGCATGTGTGTGGCAACCAGGAGTAATCTTTATGGAGTTAATTCTGTCCTTCTACCTTTGTATGCATTCCAAGAATTGAATTCAGGTCACTAGATCCTGCAAGCTCCCACTGAACCATCTTATGCAGTTATGTAGTTTTGTATTGTTTTCCTTCTTCCATATTTGTTTATTTTTTTCATGTGTATATATATATATATGTGTGTGTGTGTGTGTGTGTGTGTGTGTGTGTGTGTGTGTGTATACACAAATTATGGTGTCTGTGAAGATCTAAGAAGAAAACAAAATCTCCCTCAGACCCCCTGCTTACAGATGAACTAACAGCTGGCTTTTTTGTGGAGGAGTATGGAAGGCAACCTGCTTATTTTTCAGGGGCTTTGCGCTGGGTTTCATAGTTAAAGGCATCATAGTTAAAGGGTTGTGCTGTGATTATAAAAAAGTGAAACTGAAAAACAAACACGTTGTCTTAACCAGAATTGTTTTAAAATTTACAACTCAGAATCTATAGTAAAGCTCGTTATGTGATGGCATCTTTAATAGAAAATCAAAACTAAAAACTACTTACATTGAGTTTACTTAGCAATGTATGGAGAATGAGAAAGATACAGTAGGGCCTGAAAAGGCAATAATCTATGTTATTTCTAAAGTGAGTTTGTCTTATAGCCAGCCTAACTGAAGAAACTGGAAAATATTTGGAAGGGGTTTGAAGAGTGGAGGTGCCAATGTTAAATTGTATACTTTTTTGGTGGATGATATTGCTGATGCTGAAGATACAGCTGAACTTGCCATTTTTATCAGCACTATTGATGACAAGTGTAACATCCCTGAAGAAATGGCTTCTTTATGCCATTAAAACACACAACTGGGGACCAGCAAGGTGGCTCAGCAGTTAAAGGCTCTTGCTGCCAAGCTTGACAACATGAATTTGATCCCTAAAACCCACATGGTAGAAGGAGAGAGGCAACTTTCTTGAGTTGTCTTCTGACCTCCCATACCTGTGCCAGAGCTCATGCAAGCATACACAGGAAAAATAGACAAATAGGAGAGACAAACCATGTAACTGCATCCTAGGATGTGGCTCAGCAGGTAAAAGAGATTTTACCATCAAGCCTGACAACCTGAGTTCAGTTCCTGGAACCTATATGCTTCCTACAAAGCCATCCTCTGTCTTCACACATGTGCTGCTGTGACATGTGCATGCTCACACAGGTACATGTATGTGTAAGCACAAACACACACACAGGATATTTATGTGAAGTTGTAAAACAAATGTTCAACTGCTTTTTTTGTTCATCCTTAATCTATCTCGTACAGTAGCTGATCCTACCCTAGAGATGGTGGATGCTTGTGCAGTCCTGAATCTGTGGGGTCACCCTGGGAAGTGAGCTAAGCTCCAAAAGGTGGATCAGGGTTAATGTCCTTGAGACAGGCTGTCTGGAGAGCTGCAGCTTCCTATTCTCCCAGCCTTGTCACCCTGGATCAGGATAAAAATAACTACGACACTATGTTCTTTTAAAATTCTTTTTCTAGACTGTAAGCGGAAGATTCTGGCTTGTGTTTCTGCTCACTTCCTGTTTCTCATTTCACAGGGAACTGCTCTTTGAAGGGCCCTTTTTGAGCTCAGAACATACCGTGCTGATAAAATATGGCTTGAGGGATAGATTAGTTTTATAGAGGAACAGAGTCTATTGGCTCATATAGTATGGAAACTTTTTTCTGGCTGCTGGGATCCACCTATAAAAAATACTGCAGTTTGGCCCCGTCAGGGAAGCCAGAACCTTCATGGGAGTGCAAAGCTGCAGGAGACAGGAAACGAAGCCATTATTGTCTGTCAGTCAGCCCCATGGTAAGTCCCGCTGTGTGTGTGTGTAAATATTTACTTGTGTGTATGTGTGTATGTATGTGGTGTATGTCTTATTTGGATTTGTATGTTTTTATTTGTGTGTATATGCCATTTGTACATATATATGTCTTGTATGTGTATGTTTCTTTGAAGATGTGTATTGTTTATAAACATTTGTGTTCATATATTTATGTTTACATGCCTGTGTGGTGTGCACATGCTGTATAGTGTTTGTATTATATTTGTGTATAAAGCTTATGTATCTGTACATGTTGTATGCATATTTGTGTACTCATAGGCATGTGTGAGTTGCTATGTATGTATATTTCTATTCATTTGTATGTATGTTTACATGTATCTGTATGAATGGGGTACACTCTATTTTATGTAGTGTGTGTGTCATGTTTGGATTTATTTATGTGTTTAATGTATGTATTATTTGTATGTATGTGTGTGTTGTATATTTTCAGCTGTATAAATGGCATGTGTGCCACATGTATACATTTGTATTTGTGTGTGTTTACATGTATTCATGTTGAGGGTATGGTAAACATCATGTTTATATTTTTATTCAGTTATTTTTCGTAGAATATATTTTGATAATTTTTCCTTCTCCCTACCTTTTTACCGATCAAACTTCATGATCTTGCTCGCTCTTAAAAAATAAAATAAAAATTTAAAAACCTGAAAATCAAAATAAACAAACAAAAAACCAGTAAGACAAAAAGAAAAAGTCAAAACAAAATTAAACAAATCAAAAAGCCCACAAAACTAATTTTTCATTTGTGAGTCCATGGCCAGCAACAGATAGCTAACACAAATGAGCTCAGTGGCAACTGAGGTTGGAAGGTCTTCCTCTCAGAAAGCATTCATGGCTTCCAGTTTTGCATTTTTATGGGTTCCCATGGGTGCTAACCTGTGTGTCTCTACATCTATATATATTTCTCACATGTTTTCTTTAGCCCTTCTTCGTCTGTTTGTGTGTTTGCTTGTTTTGTCCTATTTTGGTTTGTTTGTTTTTGTTTTATCTTTTTTATTTTATTATTATTCTAAGGAGAGACAGAAAGAGTATGGATTCTGATGAAAGGGGGTGGGGAGGGTTTTGGGGGGTTGGGAAGGGGAAAATATAATCCAAATATTTTTTATGAAAAAAATCTATTTTCAGTAAAAGAAAAATAAGGGGAGAAAACCCACAGAAAATCAGCTTTGTTTTGTATTATGCATGTGTTTTTATGTATGTTGTATGTGTTGTAAACATGTGTTTATAAACTTGTGTGTATGGCAGTGTCTATGTGTATGGTGTGGTAGAAAGAGCTGCAGCACAGAAACTAGGAAAATTTTGTGCTCTGTGGTGACCTTTATGCTTAATGCTTGTTTTTGCTGAAGTCAGAGTCTGGCACACACACTCCACAAGCTTTCTACTCTGACCCTCGTCCTCCACCTCCAATGGCCAAGGCTCCCCGCGGTACTTTTCCAAATTTCACTTTCTTTCTGAGCAATATAACCAGGGTGATTCTGTCTCTCTCATCTGGACTAGAAGTAAAAATTGGAAGTATACCGTGTGTGTGTGTGTGTGTGTGTGTGTGTGTGTGTGTGTGTGTGTGTGTGTGACTTTCTAGGGAGGGCCACTGAGGCTTGGAGGGTGCAGCCTCCTTCCTTTGACAGAGCTGTGGGCACAGTGCTACTTACATAACCATTTCCCTGGGTGACTCCTGTGTCTGCACCCCAGCTTCATCTGCTGAGAACTGTTTTCTGTCCATCCACCTGTTCGTCTGCAAGACTGAGGGTCTCTAGTTGCTAGGCCTCCAGGTCATAGATGCAGGAGGCACAAAGGCAGCCAAGGCAGTTGGAACACTGCTCAAGCCAGGACGCAACTGACCAGAGCTGAGTGAGGCTACCTGCCTGGCCTGCTTCCTCCATCTTCTTCGGGAGCCATCAGAATTTCTTCAGCTGCCTGCACCCACATGTTAGCCCATTAAGCCAAACATTTGCTGAATGTCACAAAGCTGAGCCTTCAGTGGCTCCCACTGACTTTTCCCTGGGATTCAGAGAAGATAAGGCAATCTATAGTTGAGTAGAGAAGAACATCAAACAGTGCTGTGACAAGTCCAGATCTGCACTTGTGTGCCCCACCCCAGAGCTTTCGTCTGGATTGCTTAGTTTGGCTGTGAGTGCCATGCTTTTCTTCCCAAGCCTGTAGGGAACACCAATCTAATAACAGCGCTGCAGGCTCTTGAAATCGTGTGATATTAGCCCAGGAAGCAAGCAAGCATCACTCTCATCAGAGCAGTGTTGGGCATTCCTGGCTGGGATGCTGTGGCTCTAATTTGCAAAGAGAACTAAGAGGTGACCTATAACTGTGGATATGCTGTGACATTAGAGGGGCAGGTCTCTTCACACTTGGGCCTGAAATTCACCCTGAAAGGACGCTGTGGCCCAGGCAGTGTGAGCATCCTAGCCAACGACCATGTCTCTGTTGAACACTGAGGTGCCCGTTCTCAGCAGAGCTCTGTCAAACACTATGAAGGTCCCCATTGCTTCTACCTTCCTTGTAACTGCTGAACACAGATGTAGCTTTCAGACATGCCAGTTCCCAATGTTAAAACCTAGGTGGTCCCTTCTGGACTCAAGACCCAAAGCCCTCCCCTCCCCATAACTTCCTGACCCTGCCATGTGGATCTCATATGGTCTGAGACACAGAATCAAGACCTTGCTGCCTCCTTCTCTTTCCCCTCTCCCTCACCATTCTCCTCCTCATCCCATCCCCTGCCCTGGGCCCTCAGTGTACAGCTCTGGACACTGTAACCCAAACAAATTCAGTGGTTCCTTTCTCTAGGATAAATCATCTCTTAAACTCATGGTGGAGAACACAACAGTGGGGTGGGTTCCTAAAGACCCCAGAAAGTGCCCCATACTCCTCTTCCACACTCTTCACCAAGCACATGCATGTGCAATAGCTTAGCCCTAACAAGAAAAAGGCAAGTGTCCCTTAAAAGCTGGAGAGATGGCTCAATGGATAACAGTGCTTGTCATGAGAACCTGAACCCTGAGTTTGATTCCTGGAACCCAAGGGAGAAGGAGAGAGCAAACTATTGGAAGTTGTCCTTTAACCTTTCCGTGCGCCCCACGGCACATAACCGTCTGTGCATGCATGAGTTTACAAACACTCACACACACACACACACACACACACACACACACACACACACACACACACACTAAAGTTATGTGCATGTATTTAAATATATGATTATCTTTTGTAGGTGGAAGAAGAGTGTGGACACAGTCCCCAGAAGAATCCCACAAGGCATGTGCCCCTGGACTCTGCACAAGGGTTGACAAAAGGTACTTTCCTAGCAGAGGAGACTCAGAAAGGTGTAGATGGGAATACTTGCATGCAAATGGACACAAGGCCACACACTGAGTACTAGGAGTAGAGGTGAAGGCTCTCAATACATAGATTTACCCATTGTAGCCAAAATAAAGCAAGATGGCTCCTCTTTATGCCAGGAAAAACTAAGGGAAGGGACCCTGATAGGTGGATGACCGTAGGAGGTAAGAAGTACCAGTTCCGAGGAAATGAGCCTTCACATCTAAGCTCCTCCTGGAGAAGGACGTGCTAGTTGCAGACATAATAAAAAGACTAGTCTGTACCCACAACTCTGGAAGCCAGTAGTCCCTTGTGTGGGTGGTTAGCTGTATCTGATGTGTCACATTGATTGGCAGTATCATGCAAGCAAGCAGAATGCCACCAATGGCCATTGGGAGGGACTGGACTCAGTCTTCTCAGAGATTTACCTTTGTCACTTAACCTAGGGAGATGGCGTTTGGGGATGCTGGAAACCTACCCATGTTTTCTTTCTAGAAGAAATTATTTGTGACTCATTGTATTCTTCTTTATGAATTTGATGGGCCAGGGCCATGAGGGGGAAAAGTGCAGTTATTCTCCCATATGGGAAAGTCATCACAATACAGTCAGCCTTTTCAGTTCTTACAGGAAGCATACTAGTCACTATGTGAAAAAGTGCCCTCTCTGCATCTTACGATGCATTTAGCTTTTAAGTTGGAACTCCAGCTGCTCATAAAAGAGTTACTCTTTGGCCCTTACTGTGCCTTGGCTAAGCAGACAGGAATGGACATTCAGCCATCCACACTTAACTGACACGTCCATTAATCCACTCAAATTCATTTCTATCCTCCTTGGAAAAGCTCAAGAGAGCCAAGATGATTGCAGGTCAGCCTAGGATGCAGGCAGAAGCAAAACCAGGGGTGCTGATGTCTGAAGGCAGAGCCTAGGTGCCTTTGGCAGGGTTAGCATTCTATGATCTGAGACCCCTCAGTGTCTTCCATGGGAACTATACTTGGAAACTGTCATTTGCCACTTTATGTGGTTTGGGTATTAGCACTTACAGGGCTAGGAGAAGGGCCTTTCCTTCCCAGCTCCCAGCCCCTGGTGTATTTAAAAATCTTGATGTTGGATTAGCCAGTGTTTAGTTGACATATGAGTTGTTCTTCTCAGCTGGTGGCTCTGATATCCCTTTGTAGGAATGTTTGTCTCTGCCTTCTAGGACACAGGCTGAGAATGTAAGCCCAGGGACAGATGCTGGCCTTTGTCTCTGCTACTCTCCTCATCCTGGGATTCTGTTTCTCAGATGTGCAGGGGCCTGGCCTCTAATAAACAGAGAAAATAGACTGACTCAGTCGCATTTCTTGCTGATGGTTTCTTTTGTAAAATTCTTCTAGGTCTAAAAGAGAAAGAGCTCACCCCAAAGAGACTGCAGATCCTTCTGGTGGGGAGAACAGGAAGTGGGAAAAGCGCAACAGGAAATAGCATCCTTGGCAGGCAAGTATTTGAGTCCAGAATCAGCGCTAGACCAGTGACCATGACCTTCCAGAAAGGGAGTAGACAGTGGACTGAAAAGGAGCTTGAAGTGATTGACACCCCAGACATTTTGTCATCTCAGGACAAGCCTGAGGTAGCAGCTGAGATCTGCAGTGTCTTGGCCTCTCCAGGGCCCCATGTAGTCCTGCTGGTGATTCAGGTGGGCCGGTACACTGCAGAGGACCAGCAAGCTGCCAGGCGCCTCCAGGAGATCTTTGGAAAAGGGATCTTGGCTTACACCATTCTGGTGTTCACTCGGAAGGAAGACCTGGACGAGGGCTCCTTGGAAGAGTATATCCAAGAGAACAGCAATAAGAGCCTGGATGATCTGGATGTTGCATGTGAGAGACGACATTGTGGCTTCAACAACAGGGCACAAGAGGATGAGCAGAAGGCCCAACTGAAGGACCTTATGGAGAAAATTGAAATGATCTTATGGGAAAACGAGGGCCACTGTTACAGCATAAAACCTCCAAATGTTCCCAGCAAGGTTTGAGGAGGGATCCTGGCTGGAAGGCTGTCCCCAGAATGGCCTCTGAGAAGACCTGTAGGTACCTGATAGTGAGGGCATCCATACGAGCACAGACTGGCCATAAGCAGGAGTGTCTTAGTGTTCTATTGCTGTGAAGAGAACCATGACCATGGCAACTCCTATGAAATAAAGCATTTAATTAGGGCTTGCTTACAGTTTCGGAGGTTTAGTCCATTATCATTATGGTAGGGAGCACAGAAGCATGACAGCAGGCAGGCAGACCTGGTGCTGGAGAAGTAGTTGAGAGTTCTACAACCAGATCCACAAAGCAGCAGGAAGAGGAAGACTCTGGGTTTGGAATGGGCTTTTTGAAACTTCAAAACCCACCTCTAGTGACATACTTCCTTGAACAAGGCCACACCTCCTAATGCTTTCAAATAGTGCTACTCCCTGGTGACCAAGTATTCAGATCTATGAGCCTATGGGGATCATTCTCATTCAAACCACCACAGGACATTCCATCATCAGCTGCACCCTGTGTCCAGCCCTTGTTGCCTGTTCCCTCTGTCTCCACAGAGAGCTTTCCAGGCTGATGGGCGATGTCGTTCTGTAAATATGTTTCTCATACTGATTAATGAATAAAGTACTGTTGGCCAATAGGAAAGCAAGATAGGCCGGACTAGGAGAGAAGGAGGATTCGAGGAAGTAGGAAGGAGGAGTCAGGATGGAGAGACTGGGAAGACCAGATGCCTGCCCCATTCCCCGGTAAGATGAAACCATGTGGAAATATTTAGATTAACAGAAATGGGTTAATACTTAAGACAGAGCTAGCCGATAAGAAACAAGTAACTGGCCAACAGCATTATATCAAATACAGAGTCTCTGTGTATTATTTGTGGCTGGCCCGGCAGTGGGAAAAGACCAGCAGCGGGCGGAAAAACTACTCGTAACACCAGGCCCTAGGTCAGATGTGGCAATTCTGTGTCCAGCTCTATAGCTTCTTTCTGAGCACATGGGCACAGCACAGCACCCTGACAGGGGCCCCTCTGCCCTACTGATGTCACATCTTTATGCTTTGTGTTAATTTCTGATACAACCAAAGCTTCCTGCCATCATCTGGCTCGCACTTTCATATATGTTGCATAGCTGCCAAGCCAAGATCATCAGGGTTGAATCAAACATTTCTTTAGCTTCATCCTTACCCATAAAGGGGGACAGACAAGGTGCCTGCCCTATGTAGTGGGTAGGAAATGACAACGAGAGAATAGAGAGACCCAGACTATCAGTTAGGGTTTTCTTTCACACAGTAAGGTGTTTAAATAGGTTTTGTTGTATAACCATATTCTAAGCACTGATGTACTTCTAAGCTTTTGAGAGACTTTGCTGTAATGACCACATGAGCACAATGACTCATTATAAACCATATATGTCCTTCCTTGGATGGGGGGGGAGTTAGTGCCTCATCCATCTCTTGTGAGCTAAGCACAATTAGACCAAATGCATAGGAGCAGACCACCATGCAGGTTCAAACCTTGCAACGGAGCTGGAGGCACAAAGGTCATGGCAGAGATCCCAAGCAGTCAAAAACTGGAGGGAACAAACCCAGCACCTCGTCAATGTGCTGTCTCCCTTCTACTCCACCATATACCCCCAATAAAGCCTTGGTTAATTGGTACCACTTGCCTCTTTATGATTTTTGTACAATTTGAGAAAAGAAGTTTAAACTGATTGGTAACTACTGTGGCTCTGACATGTATAACAAGATGTGCCCTGGCTACGGAAGAATGTGAATAAGAACCTAGAGAGAGGAAAAATAAATAAATGACACTTGGTTCTTTTGAACCATAACCTAAAGGTTTCATGGGTACTTCCTGTGGGTCAGAGTGAGTGGAGTTGGTAAAAACTGAAGAAGTAAGCCTTGGCCTAGGAGAACCTTACCCTGAGGCTGTAGGATATGGGCTTTCTCCATCTGCATGGGCTTAGACACAAAGGCCCCATGAGTCTGAGAATGGTTTAGTCACTCTTGTTACCTCCCCCTTTTCCTTGAGTTTCATCACCCAGTGTTAGAGCCAGCTTTGGGAATATTAGGAGCAAAGGATATTTTCCTACTTCCATGAACCTCCTTTTCCTTGGTAGGTGTGTGGATGGGGCAAAGGGAGGGTCTACATACGTGAATGAGCTCTGCAGGAAGATCATTTGGAAGAGTGAACAGAAAGAAAGGAATCTTTGAAAGAAGAGAACCTGCAGAAGGCTAGGTGCTTAGACAGCATGTATGACAGGAACTGGCTTCCACAAGAATTCTCCAACACAGGGATGTCTTCCTGGAGAGATGCTCCTACAGAGAAGGTGTAACCAACAAAAGAAGGAAACAGGACATTGGCTCAGACCTCTTAAAGGAAGCAGTTTAGACAACTGTATAAGTTGCTGTGCCTTAGATGCACCTGAACATCTGTGAGATTCAGGAAAGGGCCCGGGAGTGTGACCAGCTGATGGGAAGCTAATGGTAGGAAAGAGCAACAGACTCCTAGTTCCTTTTCAGGGACATCCCTACCAGTTCTTCCTACTTCAGCTGTGCAGCAGAGACTGAGATCCCTTCCCCACAGAGAGTTGGGAAGTGGGGTTGTAGGGACTGTGTGGGGACTGTCAGAACCCAGAAGATGTGGCCTCAGATCCTCCTAGGTGCTTATCTGCAGGCCTGAGTCCAGTCTCCTCTGTCTGCCTGGAAAGAGGAACTCCTAACTTCCCTTGCACAGGCAAAAACATCATAAATCACTTCTTTGGGCAAAAGGCAGCCACGGCCCTGGTTTGGAATGTTGCTGGGAAGTACCTGTTGAAGCAGCTGCACTTCCCTGTATTGTTCTGACTTCCCCAAACAGGAAACAGACTGTTTCCTCAGCCCTGGCTCCCAGGAGGCAGATATGGCCAAGGCTTTTCCTCCTTGATCCCCTCCTTCTGCCCGGAGGTAGCCTCAACACAGAGTTGGGCACAACTGACCAGGCATCTTGATGTCCCCAGACTGAATCGTCTACCAAAAACAAGAGTCTTTATTAAAGATAAGCCTGGTATTTTGTAATAATATTCCAAGGATATGGTGGATCTATAGGTACTGTGGGTGTGTAGTAATACATTCCATTACTGAGCAGGGAGGAACAGGAGTCCTGAGCACAGAGAATGTGCTCTATAGTCTCACAGTGAAAGTGCTAATTCAGGTAACAACTACTACTGCAGGACACACTGACAAAATGTGAAGGATACAGAGATGTCCTACAGTTTCTTCTAAAGTCCTGCTGTATCACCCAATGCCTCTCTAGGAATAAGGCTTTGAGGGAGATTAAAAGGAGCCACTGTCAGTCAGAAGTGCCTAGAAAGAATGTAACTTCATGGGTAGTAACCTGAATGGCAGGATTAAACATGGACTAGGATTGGGTTACCAAGAGAAAGTTGAACATTTTTCTTTTCTAAAATAATTATTCTTTCATAATGATCACCCATTGCATTCAGCAACAGATTGCAAGCAAATGTTTGACACTGTTAAAATTAATGCAATCTGGTGGGCATTCTCTGCAGTTCTATATGGTGGTTGGGTCTCAGGCTTGCTCTGTAGAAGGGCTTAGACAGCCTCGACAGCTATCCTGCAGTTCTCTGTGCTGGTTCTAGAGTCGGATGGACTCTTCAGATCACATTCTGGCCCTCTCCAATGAGGCTCCTTGTCTGCAGGCCCTGACAAGTCAACATGGAGATCTCAGCTGAGGTAATCAGTGTGTTTCTCAGCTCAGGAAGTACCCTCTCACTGTCATGGTTGACTTCTTCCCATGTGTTACAACTGCTCTAAAATTCCCTGTGGCATGGAGGGATTGCTCCCCACTGGCTGAAGTATATCACATTGATATTGTTTGGCTACCGCTCAAGAGATAACTCATTACAGTGACTTTGCAATCAAAGGGGCTGAATTTGACATGATAAAGGGAGGCTCTGAGCCTGTTTGGAGGAGGATAAGCACCATCAGTCATTTTTCCCTCCTTTCCTACTCAGCATTCTTTGAGAGCAACTTCTAGCCTCTGAGTTACAAGAAGAAGCAAGAGACCAGGGCCTTTTCTTACCAAGGTGAAGAAAGTGCAGAAACCCACAATACTTCTGCTTATGCTTCTTAGTCATAAGGCTACTGCTAGCCACAGGAAACCCTGTGGAATGCAGTACTCTCGTGTGGACATTTTGCTTTCCAGGCAGTGGTGTAGGTCTGTTAATGGGGAAGGAGCAAAGGGTAGTAACAGCAGAAGACTAGTACAATGGGTGCCCAGCAGGTAACTTTACCTCTGCTCCTCACTCTGGAGTTTCTGCAGTCTTTCTTAGGGTGACCCACTGTAGTTTTGTTAATTCTACATAGGAACCAAAGATGGGTCAAGAAATAAACCCTCAGAGTGTGAGTCTGGTTCCAATCCACACTGAGATTTTTACCTGGCTAAGCTCCTACAGAGAAAACCCTGGATAGAGAGAAATCAACCACATCTAGAGAAACTGAAGGTGTTTGGGTTCTTGAAATAAGGAAATACACACAGAGACATCTCACATTGAGAGCTTTGCTCCAGACCAAAGCTCAAGGGGTGAGAAAAGCTGAAGTCCCCGTGAGTCTCTTATTTCCTGGAGCAACACCGAGAAAGACTAAATTTGTGGTACATGTTTGTTTAGTTTATTCTGTTGCTTTAGCCTTTGGGTCCTTTCCTTGTGGAGTGAAGGCTGTTCCTATACTGACTGCCTCTTTATCAGATGTTTGCACCTAGTGAGGGAATCTGGGTGGTGTTAGTGACAATAATTGGAAAAGCCATACCAGAAGCAATCCATTCTAAACAAGAAGCCCACACAAAGAAGGCTGTCATCTTTTGTTAAATTTGCATTAGTGTTTTGCATTAATGTTAGAAGATGATCACTACTGTATACATCCTGTGTATTTTTATGAAGTGAGCATTGCACTTCACAAAAACACCCAGTATTTGTCATATATATTTACTAGGTACCTAGACTTGTTGAAACTAAAGTGTGGGCCATGGTCTGATAATGAACTGTCCAAACACATCCCCAGGTGTAAGTGATGTGACATTTCTGTGCCATTGAGACTGAGATCCTGTGCTGGACAAAACAGAAGGCATTTTCCCTGCTTCAAGTATTCCTAGAAAAGAGCAGGATGTCCAAGACATGCTCCCTAGGGGAATCTGTAAGAAACTGACACACACAAAGGGCTGAGTCAAGTAAGAAAGAGTATCACTTTGGCCACAGTATTGCTCTGCCTAGCATGTGACTCTCTGGCCTTTAATGAGCGGTGCTTAAGCATCTTACTTTTTCTACCCACATGAAATGTGTCCCATAAAGGGCCACCATCGTGAGACCACTTAAGGAAGACTGTACCTGTCCAGAGGAGACCTTCCTTGGAGCCTACAAAAGGGAAAGAGAAAGAAAAAGTGCTTGTCTTTCTTCTCACCAGGGGCCCAAGGGATAACAATCTGGTCTCTGCTTTTGAAAGGTAAAAATATAAGCAGGAAATGTGGTCCAGTGGTTTCTGTGCCTGCCCAGGAACAGGCAGAGTGAGTGCTGAACTTCCTGAGCAAGGGGACACTCAAGAGTAGAGTTGCTGCCTCTCCTCCAGCATGGTTTTACCACACTTCCCATCTGACACCAACGAAAATTACTTGCACATTTTATAGTGTTCAATCAGCCAATGGTTTTGTTTTATGACTTCATGGGAGATCTTCCTTACACAATAAAAATGTAAGTATTTAGTAACCAGGTGTGGTGGTGCATGCCTTTAATCCCAGCACTTGGGGGACAGGCAGATCTCTGAGTTCTAGGACAGCCAGGGCTACACAGAGAAACACTGTCTCAGAAAAAAAAAGCAAACAAAACAAAATGTTTTTAAAAAATATTTAGTGTTTTCCTCAAGGATGGTTTCCTCACAGTGTATGGAAAACTGCAAGATCCAAATTGCAATGAGAGACTCTGTCTTGAACAAACAAACAAAGAAAACAAAGCAGAGAGGGTCTGTGAGAAGGCTTTGTGGGTAAAGGCACCTCTACCAAGCCTGAGAGCTTGAAGTTGGTCCCTGGGACCCACATGGTGGAAAGAGAGAACAAACCTCCACAAGTTGTCCTGAGATCTCCATATACATATTCACTGTATGCACATACACACATAAGTAAATGTAATAAGAACATAAAAAAATAAATAAGGAAGAGATTGACTGAAAGCCTTCACTGGCTTCCACATGTGTGCTTACACACATGCACATGTACTAACACACGCGCGCGCACACACACACACACACACAAAATACTTGTGGGGGAAACATCTTAAAGTAGAACTATATGACCATATTGGGTATATGTCCAAAGGAATCAAAACAAGCATAAAGTACAGATAAATACATGACCACAATTATTATCACACTGCTCAGTATAGGAGCCCATAAAAGAATGAATGGATAAAGGAAATATGAGATATACACACGTCTATTAAAGAAAGAATGCTGTTTTATTTGCAATAAAATGGACGAGTTAGAGATTATTATGTTAAGGAAAATAAGCCAGGGTTAGAAACACAGATTCCACCTTTTTACTCTCAGGGCTGGTGACCGCATTCTCAGGAACCATGGTCCAGCTGGTTCAGCCTAACTGGTGAGCTCCAGGCCAATGAGAAACACGAGCTCAAGGGAGGTGAATGGCCTCACTGAGGATAAGACCTGAGATCATCCTCTGTCCTCCATATATGCACAGAACCTGCACACACACAAATGTGCATGCATACATACACACACATACACATATATGCACAGGCACCCACACTCATAAGAAAACAAAACAGGGGTTAAAGTAAGTCTGGTTTTAAAAGCACCCAAAAAAACAAAATTCATCTCTGTGCTATTACAGCAGTGTCATCCTTGAAGACAAAACAGATTCTGATTCTGAACAAATATGAGGCAAAGAAAACGTTTATTATAACAATAATAAGCAAACTGGCTGGGTGGGGCAGAAGCGGTACAAGCTGGATGTATCAGGGTACAAGGTAGGGTTGGAGCAGCCAGATCATTTCTCAAGAGGAGAACTGATGTCACCAAACTTGTTAAGAGGTCATCAGAGAGCTTCTAGAGGCACACCTAAACACACTAACCACTAGAGTACTGTCTATTAAATTGCCCATTTGTGCTCATCCTGGATTAGTTGGCTTATGAAATTTGCTTTGCCTTCAAAGGACAGATAGGGAACAATTTGAGGCCATTCATGAACATGTAATTAAACAAACCAATATTCATTGAGAACTGTATAGCCATCTATTTCTGTCTAAAGATTGCCTCATGCATATAATTGAACTTCCTAATAAATCACAGAAGACTATTGTCCCAGAAAAATGAGCAACAATGTATAGAAGCTGCAGGTGAAGATTATTGTCGAGAATCCAGAGGAGGACAATAGGTACATCTTACAGTCATCTTCTAGAGGCTCCTGGGGGCAGCGGGGAGCGTTCTCTGAGGAAGAACACAAGCACGGCAAGCATTAATACATTCTTCTTTGGAGTTTCACAATTTGAGGATTGGTCAGTTTTTTGATAAGTCAATTGAACATCTACCAACTGCCAAAGATGACCTTTACTGCATTCTTTAGTTCTGGAAGACAGAAACTAGGGCATTTGAACACTGAGAATTGAGTCCTATAGGGCAAGGTTATCAGGAAAAAGATGCAGAAAATAGAGACGAGGTCTAGTCTTACAGACTAGGTCTAGTCGTCTTGCATAAACTGATTAATGATAAATCGAGCAACCTCCCATACTTTTAGGATTAATTCAAGTATCCTATTTTGGTCCTCAACTTCCCTCCTAGCATTTTGCTGCCTCTCTGTATATAAAGCCTCTGTTCTGATGAATTCTCTCTCCATTTGTGCCTTTCTCTTTTCCCTCTCCAGCTGATCTTTCAGGTCTCTAATCTGTTCTTCGTACTCCTCCCTTATTCGTGCTCGCTCTCTCTTGAACTCCTCTCTGTACCATTCTTGCTTCTCCTGAGTTTGTTTCTGAATCTCTTCCTCAGCACTTCTGTACATCTTGTTGGTAAAGCATCTTCCACCATTTTCCATCACCATGCTCTGGACCAAGTCCAACAGCTGTATCCTCTGGTCCTCCTGTTCAGCTCCTGATGCTTTGTTGTTGAACAAACAGTAGCGATTCTCAAACTTACAGACCAGCTCTTGAATGCCTGGAGCACTCTCTAAGTATTCATGGATATTAGCATCTTCCAAGTCATCCTTCCTGGTGAGCAAGAGAATCATGAATCTTCTAGCCTTCTTTCCAAACATGCTCAGAATCTTCTGTGTAGCCTTATGATCTTCCACACTGTAGCGCCCCAAAGGGACCACCAGGAGCAGAGCATGAGGCCCTGGGGAGGTCAGGGCAACACAGCGAGCAATCTCTTTCCTTGTGTCAGCATCTGGTACCTCAGTGTCAAAAACACCAGGCGTATCCACAACAACGAGCTCTCTCCCACCCCAGGTGCTCACCCTTTTCTCACAGACTTTGGTAATGGATTTGGCACAAATGCCAGAGTGAAAAACTTTCTCTCCAAGGACACTGTTCCCTGTGGCACTCTTTCCTGCTCCAGTTTTCCCCAGTAAGACAATTCTCAGTTGGGAATTTTCCTGGTCTTGGTTTCCAAGCTCTAGAACATCAAGGAAACAAAACGAAGTGTTAGACTCAGTCCCCCATCCCCAACAGAGTTCCGCCATCCAGTACCTGCTCTCTTGCTGCTTGTGGGCTTTCCCCTTGTTGTTACCTCTGCCCTCCCAGGGTCTACAAACAGCCTCTGAGTCTAAAAGGCCACCTTGAAGGACTTGATATCAAGGAGGTACACGTACCTCCCTTGACCTCTTTACTTCACTGCTTCTTTTCAATATTCTTTTGAGCTCCTCATTTTGACCCTTTGTGGCTTCCAAGCCACAGAGGAAGAAATAAGAGTTTCAGAAGAGAACTGTAAACTGCTTCCAACAGCTGACCCACTAAAGGAATCCAGCGCAGAACACCAAGTATGAGTTTGGGGCATCTGCAGTAAAGGATGTATTTTTTCTTGTTTATATTTAAAAATGACTCTTCTTCCAACTGAGAGCCAAGTGGGGGACAGACATCCAAGCTCTAAGATAGTAGGGAAAACGCTTAAAATCTACTTTTTTTCAAATGTAAATAATTAAGTATGTTATATAACAGCTCTCCAAAAAAATTGTTTATCCTATCTAACTGAAATTCCTCACAATATGAACATAAGGTAAATATGTTTTAATCTTTGAGATATGATAAATTATATGTGTATATACACCAAAAATAATTTCAAATTTCTTATGTTTATTTGTAGCCTATTTTATATACCTATGTACTTAGTGTCACATAAATATTTCTTAGGGAAAAAGAAGCCTTGGAGACAAAAGTTTAAGAAGCCCTGAAGTACACGCATTTGCCAGTCTGTCGAGATCCTGACAGGGAACCATTAGCTTGCCATAGGGTCCTGAGTGAGTGCCAACTTTAACAGATGTGATTCAGACTCTAGAAATGTCTGACTGACTCACAGCATCTGGAGCCAAAGAAATAAGTTCTGTTTTAAGCTACTACATTGTAAGGTAGTTTTATAAACCTGCAGAATCTCAACCAACATGGTGGGCAGAGGAGTTGGGGTGCTCAGTGACACACTGATTCATTAGAACGAGGACACTGGGGGCAGGGACCCAGATGGGGAATCAATTACCTCCACATCCTTTCCTTCCAATCCTCTGACGGGGGAAGTCCTTCTGTATGTATGTCTCTCTGGTTAGTTGATGAGTAAGACACTGTTTGGCAGTGAGGCAGGAAGATAGGCAGAACTAGGAGGAGGAAAATTCTGGAAAAGGTAGGCAGAGTGAGCCTGCCACACAAAGTTACCATGTAGGCCAACAAAGGAGTAACAAATCTGGACACTTCTCAGGTAAGATAAGGCCACGTGGAAATACTTAGGTTAATAGAAATGGGTTAATGATTAAGACAGAACTAGCCAATAAGAAGCCCTAGTCATTAGTCAACAGTTTTATAACTAATATAAGTCTTTGTATGTTCATTTGGGGCTGGAAGAGGCAGTGGGACCTGGTGGGACAAGAAAACTCTGCAACAATCCTCTTTCAGGACGGAGATATGACCAGAGAAATCACAATCAAAAAGGCCACAGACAGCTGTTCTGCTATGTTCACATTGTAGGAAGGAGGAAGGAAGTCAGGCATGGTGGTTCACTCACACCTGTCATCCAGCACTGAGGAGGCAGAAGCATGATGGCTGTCACAAGCTCCAAGCTGGCCTGGGCCACAGTGTGAACGCCTCTGTTAAAACAAACAAAAGTGGGCTAGTCCAAGGTCTGGACCAGTGAGAAGCCTTTTGGTTTCTCCTGCTTAGCCCGATGGACGTGCCCTAAGCAGAGGTCAGGAAGAGAGTCTAGAGAAGGAGAAGAGCAGAGAAATGAAGAAAAATGTGAAGCTAGCAACCGGAAATGATTTTCTCTTGCTCAAATGGGGACAGTCAAGACAGGAGGGACTGCCTCCCTCCCTGTGTGCCTTCTCATTTCTCCTGCAGCTCAGCTACCCAACCCCCAGCCCCCAACTCCCCACCTACAGCACTCCAGCTCTTCTCACCATAGCTGGTCATTGCCTTTCTGGTTGTGGACCCCACAGCATGGTACTGGGCTGCCATTGTAGCTTGAGTCCCTGCAGATAAAGAAACAGCCATAGCATTTTATAAAGAACACTTGGAAACCCACCTCCTGTAGCCAACACTGAACTTTTGGCCATAAATTCCACACCCCAAAACTCACGTCAACACTCTATTTTCAGGATATTCTTTTTATTATACAAACTTGTGCTTGTCCTGGCCCCCATGCTCTCTTGAGCATGAGTGCTATGTGCCTTTTACAAGATGTTCCTTCAGCATTCCAAACATGTGGCTCGGCTTCTCATGGTGGCTTTGATTATGGCCATCTCTAACAAAGGCTGGCCAGGATAGAACACTTGACTAAACCCCCCACCTCCAGGCATAGCTCCTTGTCTTGGTGAAGGCATCACCATATAGCCAGGGGCTCTTGCCAGGCTACAGACTCCACTATAGCCTTGCTTTGTGCTTGGATTAGCCCATCACAAAATCCTAATGACTCTCAGAAATCTTATTTTGTCTTTTTGTCAAAATCCACTGTCATTTGTTGTGAGAATAACAAGCTGGTTCCCAAACATCCCAGCTTGGATCCTTTTCTTACTTCTACCACCAAATTTCACTTTAAAAATAAAATTGCAGAGGGCAACTGTGGTCTTCCGGGCAGGGAGGAAGAAGAGGCCAGCGCTGCTATGGTGCTTGAGTGCTGTGTCTCCTGCTCTGGAGTTGCTCACCCAGCTGCCAAGCTGTTGGACTGCCGAGCTCTTGCAGACCTTGGGCCCCCGGTTCACAACAGATAAAGTCATGTTTGAGCAGTTTGCTGAGGTGGTTCTATTGAATTTGTTTGGCTACCAGTCAGATCCTATAAACTACCAAACAGCTGTGGCCTGGCTGGAACTGCTGGCTGGGTCACTGCTGGTTGTGGGCCCACCTGTGCTACCAGAGATCAGCAACCCCTCTTGATGGTGCTCATGACGGGGGCATCTTCACTTTGGCAGTTTTGAAAATGTCATAAGGGGACCTATAGCCCAGGCATTGTCTGATTGGGGTTTCTGTTGCTGTGAATACCTGCCAGTTCTTAGCTGGAACTAAGAAAGTGGTCAGATGCCCTAGTACAAGGATTCCTGGTGCACTCCAGAAACTTGAGAACTGAGTCTTCAGGCCATGTGTGTTTACCACAGCAAGAACAGGGTTTACCACTTTGTTAGGTCCACAGTCATTCACCATCAAAGAGAAACTCTTGTCTAGGCCCCAGACTCCCCTTATAACTATGGTGCCCTATTTTGAGGGAAGTATTAACATCCTTCATGCCATATGAAAACAAGAAATAAGCAGAAATTCTAATACCCATAAATAATTATGTCAATGCTTTGGTGTAACTGAACCTCCTGACTTTTTCTATGACTGTATACAGATTAATTTTTTAATGAAAATGAGACAGTATAGCTTACTTTATTGTCTACTGTTTAGATCTAGTTTTCTGTCAGGCAGTACTGGTGCACACCTTTAGTTCCAGACTGAAGAGGCAGAGGCAGGCAGAGTTCAAGGCCAACCTGGTCTACAGAACAAGCTCCAGGACATCCAGGGCTACATAGAGAATCCCTGTCTCAAAGTAAATAAATTAATAAATAGAGAGAGAGAGAGTTAACATTGCTTTTTACTTTATCAGTGTTAGTGGCTTTAAATACTCTGTTCTAGGAGTGCATGGTGCTGAGGGAGAAAAGGTGGCTGAGATGCTGAGAACATTGGCTGCTTTTGCAAAGCACTCAGGGTTCAGTTTTCAGCACCTACATGGCAGCTCACAACCCTTTCTAACTCCATTTTCAGAGGATCTGATGCCTCCTTCTAGCCTTCTGGAGAACCAGACATGTACATAGTACATATATGTATAAATGTATATACATGAAAACAAAGCACTTATACACATAAAATAAAAATATTTTAAGGAAAAAAAATAAAGTTGAATTTCCCAGTGGCTTTTGTTTTTCTGTAGAAAATAGTTTGGACTATTGGGTTGGTCCAGAAGTCCCTGCATGATCATCCCTCTCTGAAGACACTGGCCTCCCCTGTGTTCCCAGGGTCCTTTCTTCTCTTGAGCTTTTTTGGAAGTCCCTCTTTCTGGTGGCCACTACAGCCCACTGCTTCATGAGAGGCCCTGTCTAAGCTTTCCTGCAGCAGCACCAACTTGTGACTCCAGCTTTCAAGGTCCCTTTGCTTCCTGTAACTGCACAGCTGCATTTTCTCATCAAGGAAATGGTTGTAACATGAAGTTATTCTCTAACATTTACTGTTTCCTCTTAGACTTGGTGACAGGAAACTTCCCAGGGACAGGCGCAGCACTGAACAAAGGGTGGGTCTCAATTTATTAACTGAGCAAATTGACCGCCTAGGATTTTACCCCCCGGGTGGATGGTAATCTGTGACTAATACACAGACATGAAGAAATACTCGATTCATTTGGAATGCTTCCTCTACCTACTACCATGAACATTTTTGAGGACTCTGGAATTAACTATGTCCAGGATAGGCTGGAATGTTCCTTGTTACGAACAGAGTTCCCACACAGAAAGCCAGCAATTACAAGTGGGAAACAGAATGCCAGATGTTTCTTTTGAAAGAGGCTCATTTCTTTGTGTCTGAAGGCTAGGTGGGTAGAAGACAGCTTCTCATAAACTAGAAAGGGAAACCACAAACTTTTGTATAGCATCAACTCTCAACAGAGTTGATATCGGTGGTTGGTAGGAACCCAGGGGCAGTGATGGAACATTTCTCAAGACTTGGGAGCAGGAGTGTCTTTAGACACAATTCATATGTAAAACTAGGACTGTGCTTGTGTAGGTGCTGGTTTCATTGACTAAGTCCTCCTCCTTCAGCCTATGTACAAACAAACATCCACTCCTGGCTTCGGAACTGCAGTCACAATGAGTGTAACTTAGACCTCCCCACACCGACCTCTGGGAGGAGGGATGGCTCAGCTCTCCCATGAACCCAGAAAAGAATGGTTCCCCAAAAGGCAGGTTCCCTGGGGAGCAGCTTGAAGGAAAAAGATAAGACCAGTGAGAACCCTGAAGTGTGTGCCGGCTTGGAGGAAGCTACACGCCAAGCTGTGTCTGTTAGGGACCTCTCATCCTTTTCCCTTCCCTTCCCTTCCCACCAAGCTAATTCGGTCACTCTCTTCCTGGAAGAGTCAAGTTACAACTTTCTGACCAGTGAAGGAACACTTTCTCCAAAAAGAACTTATCCTTGCAGCAATGGACCCTAAAGTGTACATGAATTTGTAGGGCTCATCTTCAGTACAAATTACAGCCTAAAATTAGCAGGCAGGAAACAGGAACTAATAAGCATAATTTCCAAGAGCAGGTCTGCCTAGGGGTTTACCAGACACAGCCAACAGAGCAGCCCCCTCCTCACCAAATTCAGCACTCCAACACTCTACCCCTATTCTTACCTGAAAATCTGAGTCCTGTGGCCTTCTCTGATTTTACAACAATGGTAAAACCAGAAGAGAGAGTAGCAGAGAGGAAGCATGGGGGAGGAACTGTGGAAACAGGAGTATACAAGGGAACCACCCATCTTCCTAGACGTCTACAATGCAGACCTTTCTACAGGCCTGTCGTTCCATGCCATCTAACATAGAAACCATGGGCCCCTGGTAGCTACTGGGCACTTGAGATGTGATAAATCAAGGTATTTTGCGGTACTGGTCACTTTTCTCATCACTGGGAGTACAATATGGTTCATCTTAATAAATAATGGGAAGTCTGCTGTTGTTTGGTAGAATATTCTATAAATATAAATGACATGACTTGGTTGGAGTGATATTGAATCTCCTGTGTGCTTACTTATTTAAGAAATGGTGGGGTGAGGGGAACTCCTTGTCAACAGCATATAGTAGAGTCTACTTTTAATTGGGGTATTTAGATATTTTATACTTCAGATAATTCATGAAGTAGCTGGATTTCAATGGGGCATCTATATCGTACCTCCTCCCCTCAAAGCCTAGGGATCTCTACAGAAATGGGATGGAAACATTGGAGGCAGTGGACATCTGCAGTGAAACAGTATTTGCTGGATATGCCAAGGTCATTTCACTGGGGAGATGGGGGGGGACATGAAATTGGGAGGGGAGGGAAAGGGGTAGAGAAGAAATTAGAGGGAAGAGAAATGGGGGTGGCATTGATCAAAATACATTATGTGAATGTATCTAATGATAAAAAGTTATCATTCTGCTACTAGTTTTCTCCTTGTCAAATCTGTTCTTTTTCTCCCTTTCTCTGATAGTCTGCCTACTTTGAGGCTGATTCTTGTGTAATTTCTTTTTATTTCTTATTGTTGACTTATTCAAGACAACACTTTTTTTGGTGAGTGCTTCAGGGTCCATGCATGTCTCTTCAATTTAGACACTCTCCTTTCAAATTCTGTTCAATCTCCCCACATATATAGCAGAAGAACCTCCCATGTCCACACTATTGTCATCTGCAAGTTTTATAAACCCAAGGGACCACCAGGTCTGAGTAGTTACATGGGCAGAGGTCAGCAGGAAAAGTTTGGGATTTGGATCCCTTATACTAAGAACAAGAGTGATGGGGTGGGACAGTACTCGTGGGTCAGATTAGCAAGCATTGCCAACTCCAGGAAAGTCTATTTACTCGGTGATGTTGATTCCCCAGGTTCACCACTGAAATCTGGTAACTTGGCACAAAATCACCAAGCAACCAGGTGGTGCAGAGACAGGCCCTGAGAAAATCCATTCTTCACCACAGGCTTCTAAAGCCTATCACCTTTCCATGCACTGCACTGTGCACTGACGGGCCCAGGAATGTGTAGCCCAGAAATTGGGACGCTGGAAGCAGGAATGTCCAGATTAGAAACATATTTTCTTCAATTTGTGGACTCCCTTCTCATACTTACACAAATCTCTGGTTCACCTCATTTGAAGTTTTACAGCAAAGAAGCCAGAGAGTGTTTTTTTTTTTTTTTATTGCAATTCTGGAGAATTTGTAGACTCAGCAGCTGATGTCAACCCATTTCCCAGAAACCCCTCTTATGAGAGTAAGACAGTTGATGTTAAATGTTAAATGTATCTGCGCCCTAAAACACTTCCTCCCTGAATCAGCCGCAGATATTTCCTGCCCCATCCCCTTCACCTTTTGTCTTACTCATCACAGGAGTGTGATCATTTTTCAGGGCAGATAGGTTAAGATGGAAGGGCCATGCATCCTGCCATTAACATGAGATGATATGAAAACAGGCAGTGGGAAGAGGTTGAGAAATGGAGGGACATCTCAGGGAGATCTCGGTGTACTAGATCTCCCTGATCAACACTTTGGAATGGTGGTATTGGCCCCAAACAGAGCTTTCCTCTGCCTTCCACCTGGAGAATGAACCTAGTTATGGTTACTCACAGTTCAGTCTTGAGTGGGTGTGGTGTATGTACAGTGTCTCTACCTTTTAGAATGATTCTAATAGAGTTTTAAAAACTTAAACTACTAATGAAACACTTAGCAAATATTGCAGTAAATAAGGATCAGGATAAACAAATAGGCCGGGGTAAAACCCAGGTAAATCCCGCTTCTGACACCAGATATTGCGGTAAATAAGGATCAGGATAAACAAATAGGCCGAATAGATGTTTATTCAGGGAGAAATAACTTACAACCTAGACAGATGAACACCAGGAAATTCAACCCGATCCTCTCCTGTCCGAGTCATGCCAGCAAGAGAGAGCGCCTTCCTGGCCCCCTCCGACCTCCTTCCTCAGGTCACCTCCGCCCATCGCTCCACCCCCCAATGGGCGTGGTCAGTGCTACAGAAGGACTACCTCACTACAAGCAAACTCATTATAAACATTGTCAACATTGCCCTGAAAAGATGGGCCAGTAGTTAAGATCACTGGCTGCTCTTCTTGAGGACCCAGGCTGGATTCCCAGCAACCACATGGTGGCTCACAGCCATCTCTAACTCCAATTCCAGGGGATCTGTGGGTTCCAGGTATACACATACATGTAGGCAAACATCCATCCATATAAAAATTTTGGAATAGTCTGCATGAAGTCCACAGCTTGGAAGGACCATTGATGCCATTGCCCCCCTCACAGATTCTGGAATTGGTGGGGGTTGGGGAGCATAGTTTCCAGCTGTGTTCCCACTGCTTACCCAGCCAGCCTCTAAAGTATAGTCCCAATTCATGGTCACATGAACAGCCCTAGTTAAGTTCTGTGAGACATAAAGCAAAACAAAATGTCATAAATTTGAGGGGGAAAAGTTTTAGGGAAGAAGAGGGATTAGGAAGAGTTGGAGGGAAAAATAGAAGGTGAAGGAAGAGTAATTAGAGTAACAAAGTTCATTAATAAGAACAAAAAATCAAAATAATCTTTATTATTAGCTATGTCGAACCAGTATTTATTTAAAATATCATTGAGAATGCAGGAATGGCCATGAATGGGTCCGTGTAACTATGTGAAAGTATTTTGTGCATTTTGTTTTGTTGTGTTTTATTTCCATTTAACAACACATAAGCGATTTTGAAGTCAAGTTAAGTTGACTTATGGAAAGCCAATTACACCATAACACTGTGGTCTAGCACCTATTATATACCACAGGCCGGCCTCACATCCAACACACCTACTAAAGGGGTCACAGGGCTATCGGGGTATAAAAGTAAAAGTACCAGCAGTGATGAGATACTTGACCAAATACCTGGGAGACAGGGGAAGGTGAGGGTACATTGGACAGAGCACGGACTTCCTACACAAGTCCAGAAAGGCTGGTGTCGGTAGTGATGGAGGCTGAAACATAAAGGACCCTATAGTCCCCTCCCTCGCCCTAATTCAGAGAACTGTACTTTTTCTTCTCCCAGGAAGATGGTGGGAAAGTTTTTCTTTTTGCTGAAGATTAGAACATCTCACAAAAGGCTTGTACATCCCAGCACTTAGGATTCATTCCACATAGTCATCTGTGTTTGCTCTGTCACCTGTAGGGGAACTCCTCTGAGGCCCACTACAGCACTTCCAGACAGCTTTCCTAACGACTTGTCCTTTTTAATTCTTTTAATTGTGTGTGTGTGTGTGTGTGTGTGTGTGTGTGTGTGTGTGTGTGTGCATGTGCGCTCAGAAAACAATCATTGCAATCACCAGCTCACAACAGATATGGGCCTGGATGGAGCAGGAGCTCATGGGAACCTACTCCACCCTGCTGAGCTAATAACTGCTGATGAATTCTGGGAGAGGAAGAGTCATTGTCTTCCATTGTGTTCTTCCTGGTGAGTCCATAATTCTCTGACAGATTGCTCTAAAACTGTTGTCACACAAAGGAACCTAGTTAAACCCAGACAAAGCAAAAATATACAAAAACAAAAAGACATGAATGCAAGGAACCCACATTATATGATGTATGTATGAAATTATCAAAGGACAAACATCATCAATAAAAGAAGAATGACATTTACATCACAATCTCAACTTATTCCAAAGTTTTGAAAGCATTTCACTTATCTTTTTGAAAATATATTCAAATATATTCTCTTCAGCCTCTTCCTTCAGATTTCTCATTTTCTCATCATAATTTCTCTTTGCAGAATCAATGCGTGTCTTCTTTTCTTTCTCTGATTTGTTAGCATATTCATTTTCTATTTTTGTGATTTCAACACTGAGTTGTTGAGTGTAAGTTTCCTCCAGATTCCTTAGACACTGTTTCAGCCTTCTATCTGTGTCCTCATATATCTTTTCAGAAAAGTAAGATCCCCCGTTTCTGTCCACCATTTTCTCTATCAGTTGTATCAACTGCTGTACTTGATCTTCTTGCTCAACTTTTCCTGCTTTGTTATTAAAGGCCAGGTAGCGTTTCCCACACTCCAAGATGGTATTATTTAGCTTGCCATCTGATTGACCTAAAAAGTCATCAAGGCTCCTGCCCTCAAGGTCATCTTTGCGAGTGAACAAGACAATCATGTATTTCATGGCTGCCTTCCCAAAAAGACCCTTGATCAGATCAACAGTTTTCTGCTCTTCCTCCGTGAAGCGGTTCAGCTGCATAACCAGGATGATGGCATGAGGCCCAGGACAGGAATAGAGGACACAGCGGCTGATTTCTGAACATGTGGTTTTCATGGTCTCCTTGGTGTCAAAGAGCCCAGGAGTATCGACTACAACAAGGTTTTTCCCCTTCCATTCCCGGGATGCTTTTTGGCAGGTCTTGGTAACAGCATGGGCAGAAATCTTAGAATCAAATTGGTGTCTCCCAAGGATGGTGTTTGCTGTGGCACTCTTTCCGTGCCCAGTTTTCCCTACCAAAATGATCCGCACTTCATTGTTTTCATGGGCAGCCATGCTGAGGCAAGTCAACTTTGAAGATCAGGAATGCTCAGATCTTACAGAAGAGAAAGAGAGAGAAAATGCCCATTAGATAAATGGGAACTGCCTCAATCTTTTCCCCCTTCCTTCTCTAAAATTTTCAATGGTCTGCTGTCATTATGTATCCCCGTAGAGACAGAAAGATAAAACACTACAGTGAAAGAAAGAGAGAAATTAAACAGTTCCTCCACAGAAGAATGCCACTCCGTGTGGTTCTGCAGGGAAATCCCAGTGGCACATGCATGTCACACTGTTGCTATAGAGGTCAGAGGGTGGCTTTGTGGGGTTGGCTCTCTCTTTGCACCTTTGTGTGGGTTCTGGGCATTGAACAGTCATTGCCAGGCTTGCCCAGGAAGTGCCTTTACGTGCTGAGCCATCTCCTTAGCACCACCCACTCCTGGCATACTTTTAAAGCCTGATAATCTGGGTGCCACTTAAACTCTTTAAGTTAACTTAGAAAGGATATTTCTAGTCCTGCTACCAGCCTCCATGCCAATACTGGAACAGGTGTCAAGCCCGATGCCAGGTCTGAGAGTGAGCACACCCAAATATCTGTTCTGCCACATTCCTGAAAACCCAGACAAGAACATGTACTGTAATGAATATAATGTCCAACAACTAGGAGAAACTTTCTAAATCTGCAAACATAAAGAAACAGTAAGAAAATGGAATGAGCCCCCCACCCTTCGTCCAGCTGGCCCAATGCTCCCAGTGAGCACTGGGCCAGAGTGCGGGTCCAACAACCCCTCCACCTCCATGGAACTTCCTGGATCTGCTCTGAGCACACTGGACCAGCCTATCCATGAGGGACCACCTTGAGGCAGCACTTGCCTGATCTTTGGAACCCATCCCCTGCCCTCTGCCAGAGGAGGGACCTCCAAGAGAGCTTGGATCATCCAGAATTGCAGACATTAAATGCCTGATACACCTACACTCACTGGGAGAGCAGGGTAGAGAGAGAGAGACTCCCCCTGCACCAAATGGAAGAAGCTATGGGAAGACAGCAATACAAAAAACACCCAACAATAGAAAGACCAGGATGACATCACCAGAATCTAGGGACTCTACACCAACTAGACCTGACACACATCAAAGCACATTAAGCAGAAGAGAATGACTTAAAAAAATAACTTCATAAAAATGATGGAGGCCCTCAAAGATGATATGAGAAAATCCCTTAAATAAATGAAAGAAAAAAACAAACAAACAAAAAATTGGAAGAAATAGAGAAAAAGGCCAAGCAGAAAAAGGCAAGAAATGAACAAAGCTCTTAAAGAAAGTAAGGAAAACCAAGAAAAACCAATCAAATAGATGAAGGAAATAATTCAAACAGTTCAAGACCTGAAAACTGAAATAGAGAAAAACAAACAAACAAAAAAAAACTGAGGGAGTTCTGGAAATAGAAAAACTGAATAAACAATCAGGAACTACAGGTGCAAGCATAACCAACAGAATAAAAGAGATGGAAGAGAGAATCTCAGGCACTGAAGATAAACTACAAGAAATATATTCATCGACTAAGGGAAATCTTAAATCCAACAAATCCCTAACACAAAACATCCAGGAAATGTGGAACACCATGAAAAGGCCAAGCCTAAGAATAATAGGTATAGAAGAAGGCAAAGAAGCCCAGCTCAAAGGTGCAGAAAACATATTCAACAGATTCATTGAGGAAAACTTTCCCAATCTGAAGAAGGACATGCCTATGAAAGTACAAGAAGCATACAGAACACCAAATAGACTGAACAAAAAAAAAAGTCCCCTCACCACATAATAATCAAAACACCTAACATACAGAATAAAGAAAGAATATCAAGAACAGCAAAAGTAAAAGGCCATGTAACACATAAAGGCTGAACTATCCAAATTACACCTGACTTCTCCATGGAAACTCTCAAGGCCAGAAGGTCCTGGAAAGATGTTCTACAAATACTAAGAGCCCGCGGATGCCAGCCCAGGCTACTATACACAGCAAAACTCTCAATCACTATAGACAGAGAAAACAAGATATTCAATGACAAAGCCAGAGTTTCACAATACATATCCACAAATCCAGCCCTACAGAAAGTTCTGGAAGGAAAACTCCAACCCAAGGAAGTTAACTACACACACAAAAAGATAGGCAATAGATAATCCCACTTTACCAGAACCCAAAAGAAAAAACGGGGCAAATATACTCACAATACCACAGCCAACAACAAATCTAAAACAAACAAGAATTAACAATCAATGGACACAGGCTAACAGAATGAATACGAAGACAGAATCCATCCTTCTGTTGCATATAAGAAATACTTCAAAGACAGACATTACCTCAGGGTAAAGGGTTGGGAAAAGATCTTCCAATCAAATGGATCCAAGAAACAAGCAGGTGTAGCTATCCTAGTATCTAACAAATTAGACTTCAAACCAAAATCAATTAAAAGAGATGAAGAAAATCATATTCATCATAGGAGAATTCCATCAGTACAAAGTCTCATTTCTGAACATCTATGCTCCAGATACAAAGGCCCTTATATTTGTAAAAGGAATGCTACTAAAACTCAAAGCTCACATACAACCTCACACACTCAGTGGGAGAGACTTGAACACCCCATTCTCAACACTAGACAGGCCCATCAGACAGAAACTTAACAAAGAAACAAAAGAACTAACAGAAGTTATGTCCAAATTGGGTTTCACAAACATCAATAGAACATTCTATCCAAACACAATAGAATATACCTCTTCTCAGCTCCACATGGAACCTTATCTAAAATTGACCACATACTAGGCAACATAACAAACCTCAACAGATACAAAAAAAATTGGAATAGCTCCCTGTTTCTTATCAGACCACCATGCTTTAATGTTGGAATTCAACAACAACACAAATTGCAGAAACCCTACAAACTCATGGAAACTGAACAATGCACAATTGCAACATTCCTGGGTCAAGGAAGAAATAAAGAAAGAAATTAAAGATTTCCTAGAATTCAACCAGAATGAGGACACAACATACCTGAACTTATGGGACACTTTGACAACAGGGCTACGAGGAAAGTTCATTGCACTAAGAGCCCGTATGAAGAAAACGAGGATAGTCACATTAGAGAATTAACAGCACAACTGAAAACCCTAGAGCAGAAAGAAGCAAACTCACCCCAGAGGACTAGACTCCAGGAAATAATCAATTTGAGGGCTGAAATCAATAAAGTAGAAGAAATTAGGAAAAACAATACAAAGAATCACGGTAACAAAGAGGTGGGTTTTGAAGAAAATCAACAAGATAGACAAACCTTTATCCCAACTAATCAAAAAGCAGAAAGAGAACCTGCAAATCAACAAAATCAGAAATGCAAAAGGGGACATAACAACAGACACTGAGGAAATCCAGAGAATTTTCAGGTCATATTTTGAAAAGCTGTACTCCACAAAATTCAAAAATTCAAAAGAAATGGACAAATTTCTGAATAGCTATTACTTACCAAAATTAAATTAAGAATAGATAAGTAACCTAAATAGACCTATAACACCTAATGAAATAGAAGCAGTCATCAAAAGCCTCCCAACCAAAAAAAGCCCAGGGCCAGATGGCTTCAGTGAATAACTCTACCAAAAATTCAAAGAAGAGCTAATACCAATACTCCTCAAATTGTTCCACACAATAGAAGCAGAAGGTCCATTACCAAACTCTTTTTATGAGACTACAATTACCTTGGTACCCGAGCCACACAAAGACACAACTAAGAAAGAGAACTACAGAACAATATTCCTCATGGGGAAAAAAAAAACTCAAATTGAGTTCAACATAACATCAGAGAAATCATCCACCATGACCAAGTAAGGCTTCAACCCAGGGATGCAGAGATGGTTCAACATAGGAAAATCTATCAATGTGATTCACCATATAAACAAACTGAAAAAGGAAAACCACATCATCTCATTAGATGCTGAAAAAGCCTTTGACAAAATCCAACACCCTTTCATGATAAAGATCTTGGAGAGATCAGAGATAACAGGAACATACCTAAACATAATAAGAGCAATATACAGCAAACCAACTGCCAACATCAAACTGAAAGGAGAGAAGCTTAAGGCGATTTCTCTAAAATCAGGAGCAAGACAAGGCTGCCCTCTCTCTCCATATCTCTTCAATATTGTACTTGAAGTTCTAGCTAAAGCAATAAAACAACAAAAGGAGATCAAGGGGATACAAATTGGAAAGGAAGAAGTCAAACTTCCACTATTTGCAGATGATATGATAGTTTACTTAAATGACCCAAAAAACTCTACAGGGGAACTCCTATAGCTGCTAAACACCTTCAGCAAATTAGCAGGACACAAGATTAACTCAAAAAAAATCGGTAGCCCTACTATATATAGACGATAAAGGGGCTGAGAAAAAAATCAGAGAAACATCACCCTTTAAAATAGCCACAAACAACATAAAGTATCTTGGGGTATGCTTACCAAACAAGTGAAAGAACTCTGTGTCCTTAAAGAAATAAATTAAAGAAGACACCAAAAAATGGAAAGATCGCCCATGCTCTTGGATAGATAGGATAAACATAGTAAAAATGGCAATCTTACCAAAAGCAATCTACAGATTCAATGCAATCCCCAACAAAATCCCAGCACAATTCTTCACTGACCTTGAAAGGATAATACTCAACTTTATATGGAAAAAAAAAAAAAAAACAAAAGACCCAGGATAGCCAAAACAACCCTGTACAATAAAGGAACTTTAGGAGGAATCACCATCCCTGACTTCAAGCTCCACTATAGGGCTATTGTCCTGAAAACAGCTTGGTATTTTCACAAAAATAGACAGGTAGACTAATGAAATTGAATAGAAAATCCTGATATTAACCCACACACCTACGAACACCTGATTTTTGACCAAACAGCTAAAAGTATACAATGGAAGAAGGAAAGCATCTTCAACAAATGGTGCTGGCACAACTGGATGACGGTGTGTAGAAGACTGCAGATAGACCCATGTCTATCACAATGCACAAAACTTAAGTTCAAAAGGATCAAAGACCTCAGCATAAATCAAGCCACACTGAACCTCTTAGAAGAGAAAATACTCTTAAACAAATTGGTACAGGAGACCGCTTCCTGAACATAATTCAGTAGCACAGACACTGAGACCAACAAGTAATAAATGAGACCTCCAGAAACTTAGAAGCTTCTTTAAGGCAAAAAACACAATAGACAAGACCAAACGGCAGCCCACAGGCTGGGAAAAGATCTTCACCAACCTCACATCTGACAGACAGCTGATCTCCAAAATATACAAAGAACTCAAGAAACTTTTCACCAAAACAACAAATAACCCTATTAAAAAGTGGGGTACACAATTGAATAGAGAATTCTCAATAAAGAAAAGACACTTAAGAAAGTGTTCAACATCCTTAGCCATCAGAGAAATGCAAATCTAAACAACTCTGAGATATCAATTTACTCATGTCAGAATGGTTAAAATCAGAAACACCAATGACAGCTTATGCTCGAGAGGATGTGGAGAAAGGGGTACACTCCTCCACTGCTGGTGGGAATGCAAACTTGTATAGCCATTTTGGAGATCAGTATGGCCATTCCTCAGGAAAATGGGAATCAGTCTACCACAGGACCTGGCAATTCTACTCTTAGACATAAACCCAAATGATCCACATCCATGCAACAAAGACATCTGTTCAATTATGTTCATAGTAGCATTATTTGTAATAGCAAGAACCTGGAAGCAACCTAGATGCCCCTCAACTGAAGAATGGATAAAGAAGATGTGGCACATTTACACAATGGAATACTACTCAGTGGGAAAAAAATGGAATCTTGAAATTCATAGGCAAATGGTTGCAACTTGAAGAGACCATCCTGAGTGAGGTAACCCAGGCACAAAAAAAGAGGAACATGGTATGTACTCACTCATGTATGGATTTTAGACACAGAGCAAAGGATCACCAGCCTATAATTCACACCGCCAGAGAAACTAGGATACAAGGAGGAACCTAAGAGTTTCCTACAAGTTCCCTCACAGAAGGGGAAAGGACCAAGATCCCCTGAGCATATTGGGAGTGGAGGGGGTGAAGTGAGTAGAAAGAGAGTTAGGAGAAAGAGAAGGGGAGAAGAGAAGAACATGTGCATTAGGAAGATTGAGTCAGGGAATGAATATATGAGAGAGAGAGAGAGAGAGAGAGAGAGATACCATAAAAGAGGGAGCCATTATAGGTTTGAAGAGAAAATTGACTCTAGAGAAATGTCCAGAGACCTACAAGGATGACCTCAACTAACAATCTGAGCAACAGTGGAAAGGCTACCTTAAATGTCCTTCCCTGATAATGAGATTGATAACTTATATGGCATCCTAGAGCCCTCATCTAGTAACTGATGAAAACAGAAGCTGACATCCATAGCTAAACACTGAGCCAAACTCCTAGAATCCAGTTGCAGAGAGGGAGGGGTTATAAGAAAAGGGGTTAAGACCAGGCTACAGAAACCCACAGAGTCAGCTTACCTGAGCAAGGGGGAGCTAGTGGGCCCCCAGACTGATAGCTGGAAAACCAGCATTGTACCCACTCAGACCCCCTGAACATGGGTCTCAGTTAGAAGGCCTGGACAGTCTAAGGAACCTCTGACAGTGTAGCCAGGATGTATCCCTGGTGCACGAAAGAACTTTGGGAGCACATTCCCCATGGAGGGATACTTCCTTAACCTAAATGCAGAAGGGAGGGTTCAGTCCCTACTCCAAATGACTTGACAGATTTTGATGATCCCTCCTGGAAGGCATCACCCTCCCTGTGAAGTGGAGGGGTGGGGAATGGGGGAATGGAATGGAAAGAGGGTGTCAGGGAGCATGGGAGGGAGGGATGGAGAGGGAACTGGGATTGATATGTAAAATAAGAATATATATATATATGAATGAAGTGGAACAGCTCATGCCCCTGATTTGACCAGTACACAGTTTAATGTGTGTCTTTAAATATCACATTGAAGTAAAAAAAAATATGTTCACTTACATGTTAATAAAAAAGAAACACACACACACAAATAGAAAAAGTAAAAGCAAAGCAGACAACAACAACAACAACAAATAGGACAGTTAAAACAATTCCAAACAACCAAAAACCGCTGACTGTATCAACACTTGGAGGTGGTGCAGAAGCTTCAGAAATACAGTAATAAAGGAAAAGAGTGCTCAGGAAGCAACAGGGGTCCTGAGCCAAGGCGACTTCAGCTTCATCCTATGTGGTACCTTCAGAGCAGCCAGTCTGGTTTCCTTAGACAGCCTCCACCCCACCTCAGTCACACAGCTGTACTTGCTGATCCGTGTCAGCACACTGAATTCTAACTCTCCTCTGCCCAGGATGACCTGGGTAACTAAGACAATCATCAGGCTTTCTGAGGTAAGAAAGTGACTTAGATTATCTGAACTGTCTCCCAGCTTGGAAGAACCTGCCTTGGGGACACAACTTTCTGTGAAGAGTATCAAGCTACACTCTGTGTCTTTCACCACAACTACCTATGAGGAGTGTGTGTGAGTGTGTGTGTGTGTGTGTGTGTGTGTGTGTGTGTGTGTGTGAGAGAGAGAGAGAGAGAGAGAGAGAGAGAGAGAGAGAGAGAGCGCACGCGTGTGTGCTAATTCTGGCCCTTATACCCCTTAGCTCCCACCACTCCTACCAGCATCAGCCTCCTTGTAGACCTGCAGGCAGGGTACCTCTAACCTCATAGATGCCCCATCCCCCCACCTCACTGCTCCCTTCCTCCTGGCCTCTTCCCAGCAGGCCTCACCTTTTCTTCAGGAAGTGATGAGAGGATCAAGGTCTCTCTGAGGGACCTGTTTGAGACAGTGCTTCTTCTGCTCAACTATGAAGCAAAACTGCCCTTTCCAAGCCTATCAGTCAGGAAGTTCTATGGGCGGAGCCAATGAAGAGACTGTTTGCCTTTAAAGAAACAGAAATGTTGTCCTCTAACTTAGTGGGTGTTTCAGCTTTGTCTGAGTGTCTGCTACAATGCTCCAAATTTCAAAATCCTTTTTTAAAAATTGCTTTAGGTTGGTTTTTATTTTTTGAGATACAGTTTAGGTAGCCCAGGCTAGTCTTGAACTCACTATGACTTCAAAGCTGAGAATCTGGTAGTTACCAGATCCTTGAGGCTGGCTACGTCAACTGTTGGGGCATCTCACAATAGCTATCTCTCACTTGGGGGTAGGATGCAACAACTGGTAGTTACTCAGAGCACAAGGCAGGGTGTCTCTCTGGTCCCAATCTGGTGCCAGGACCCCAGAACCTTCCTGAAGAGCCGCTGGTCCTTAGCCCACAATGCAAACTTGAAAAGGCTGGTTCTGATACCAGTGAAGTAATCAGCAGCAGCAGACAAATCAACTGCAGCAGGAGGGAGGCCTAGAAAGCAAAGGGGAGTGGTCTTCCTTTGCCACACCCTTTCTACCCGGGCTGCCACCAAAAGCTGCTGCCCATAGCTCACAGTTGGCAAGGCAGTGGAGACAGTTCTTCAGGTGTGGCTCCCTATTCTGGTGGCTCTAATTCTGGGCAAGTGGACTTGAAAAGCAATCACAACAAGGTGCCACACCAGCCTTCAAAACCATGTTTTGGTTCATGTCCAGGGTGATACTAAATATACAAAGAGCTTCAACTATTTTCCTTATGTGCCATGTACTAATGTAAACTTTCAGACCTTACACAAATCTTCTATCCATTTTAATTAATTTTTGTGTGAGGTGAAATATGTGGCCTTTGTCTCAGTCCTCTGCATGTGATACCATTTCCCCAGCACCACTTGCTGAAGAGGCCATCTGTCCTCAGCACATGTCTCTAGTACCTTTGTTGAAAATCAGATGGCTGTAACTTCATGGTTTTATTTCTTGGTTCTATGCTCAAAAGAACAAACACAGAAGAATATTGACTTATGTTTCTGGGTTTGTGCCAGAACCATACATGAATAATTCCTAAGTCCAATAATAAGAAAACAACCCAATAGAAACAGCACAAAGGCCTTGACACAACCTCACACAGGAGGATTATTCAGATGGCAACTGTTTTGTATGGAAAGACACTCACCATCACATGTCCTCAAGGAAGCATGAACTAGCAAGACCACTATCCATACACCTGCTAGAATAGCCAAACTTCAAGACACTGATGGTACCAAATGCTGGGTGAGTGGGAACCTTCATTGTTTACGGATAGGAATGCAGAGTGCTGAGCCACTTCAGAAGACAGGCTGGCAGCATCTTACAAAATTAAAGGCATTCTTCCATATGATTCAGAGATTGCATCACTTGACATTTATACAAAAGAATCAAAACTGATGCTCTTATAAAACCCCACATGTGCAGGTTTGTAGCAGCTTTATGAATAATTGACAAGACTTAAAAGCAACTAAGATGCCCTTCAGTAGGTGAGTGATTAAGCAAGTTGAGTACATCCTAACAGTGGGACGTTATCCAAACACAAAGAATAAGCAAGGAGCAACCATAAAAGTATCTTCCAGAAACTTAGGAGTGTATCAGTAAGCAAAGCTTAGTATACAAATATTTCCTAATGAACATTTGGGAAAACTGAAATTATAGAAATAATAGAATTATCAGTAGTTGCCAGCAACTGGAGAGATGGCATAAGTGAGATGAGCTCAAGGACCATTAGGGCAGTAAAATATTCTGTGTGGTGCTGTATTAGAATATATATGGCATTAGGTATTGTCCAAGCTTGTGGAATGTACAACTCCAGGAGTGAAATGAATGTCAGCTGTAGGCATTGGCTAATACTGCTGTTTAGGCTAAGTGATAACAAATGCACCACCTCTGGTGGGCAGAGTGACAACAGGGAAGGTTGTGACAGCGTGGAAGAGATCTCTGTGTCTTCCTCTCAATTTTATTAAGAAATTAAAGCTCTCTTTTTAAAAACAATTCAACAAAACATGGAGGTTACAAATGGCTCAGTGGTTATGAGCACTTGCTGCTCTTACAGGGGACCTGGGTTCAGTTCCCAGCACCCACATCAAATGCTACACAATCACCCAGAATCCTCTTCTGACTTCTGCAGGCCCTTGCATACAGACATGCATGCATTCATATGGATAAAAAGAAAAAAAATGTCTTTAAAATTAAAATGAAAAATAAAAAACAAACAAAATACCAACAACAAAATCAGAGCCTGATGGCCTAGGCCTATAATTCCAACTACTTAGGAGGCTGAAGCAGGAAAATTCACAGGCTCAGGGTCAGCTTAAAGGATAGAGTGAGTCCAAGGCCAGCCTGGGCAACTTAGTGAGTTTCTGAAAATACACTTATTAAATAAAAGAGCTGGAGATTAGCTCAGTGGTACAGTGCTTGCCTACCATGTACAAAGCACTGGGTTTGGTTTCTACTGAGGAAAATAACAATTTAGGGCTATAAGAAGAACACGGACCTGAATCAGCAATGGACACAGATGGCTCCCCACCCCCAGACTTTGGGTCTGAGGAGACCACAATCACCCAGGAGCCTGCCTGGTGCCAGAGCCCATCATACCAAGTACTACCCAGGGTCTCTAGGGCCCAGCTTGTGAGAGAGGAAAGGTAACCACTCCAGGCCATCCTGTCTGGCTGGGACAGCACCACCTATGACCCAACCACAAACCCTCGTGTTAGAGAGTAGAATTGTGAGGTGAAAGAGAGGGAGAGGCAGAATGGTTTGTGGGCTGGGGACAGACGCTGATCCAGAGAGGTGAGGGTGGTGAGAAACAGGCTGACATGAATGGCCAGCTGGCCACCCAAGTCCATGGACATGTCTGGGCCTGGACTATGGCCAAGTGCCAGAAACTGATCCAGGGCTCCGGAACAGCTGAGGGAGCCTAAGTTGATGTCTATGGCTGCTGTTGTCACTAGAGGCCCATTTAGGGGTCTGTGGTGAGGCCATATTGGTGTCCAAGGCCTTACTGCCATGGAGCCCATGCCAATCTGGGTTGCCTGCCTGGAACATGGGTAGATGGCCTATGATGACAACCTGGTCTGGGTCCATGGTCCTGCTGCTCCTGAGGTCTATGTTGATGTCCCCATGTTGCTGCCAGGGCCCAGGGTCTGGGCCACAATCTGTGACCATGTTGGTGTCCCAGGATTGTGCCGCTGCCAGTGCTAGGCCCATTTGGGTGGTCAGGACAGTCAACTGGAGTCCTAGTATAGTCTGGACCAGGGCTGGTCTGTGTCCCTACATCTGTGGCTCCTGAGACGACTGAACACTGTGCTGATACTGGGGATCTAGGCTGCCACCTGGGGCCATGTCAGTGTCCAAGAGCCATACTGTTGAGGGGGTCATGCTAGTTCAGATGGCCTGTGCTGCTACCTGGGACCAAGGTGACATCCTGGGTTGCTGCCTAGAACCATGACCAAGGTGTCATCCTGGATTGCTGCTGCCTAGAACCATGACTGGGTTCATAGTCCCTCCACGGGTTTGTTTTGTTGTCCATGTCCCATGTTGCCACCAAAGGCCACATAAATGCCTGGGGTTTAGGATACAATTTGTGGCCATGAGGGTGTCCTGAGATCATGCTGCCATCAGGGACATCCTGATCTGAGTGGCCTGTGCTGTCACCCAGGGCCATGATGTTCTCAGGGCCAGGGCTGCTGCAGAGAGCCATGTCTGGGTCTGTGGCCTTACAGCAGCCAGAGTCTAAGTCCAGGGCTCCCATTGTCACTTAGGGCCATGTGGAGGGATGGGGTCTGGTTGGCCACTTCAGACCATGTCAGTGTCTGAGGACCATGCTGATCTGAGTGTCCAGTGCTGCCATCTGGAGCCATGGAGACATCTGGGCACAGACCTAAGGCTATGTCTGCATCCATGACCCTATGGAACCTAGGGTCTAGGGTGGTGTCTATGGCTCCATTTGCCATCAAGGGCTGCCCTGGGTCTGGCCAGCCACCTGGCCATGATGCTTAGGGACCATGCTGTTGCTGGGCCATGCTGATCTGAGGGGCCTGTGCTACCACCAGACCATGGTAGCATCTGGTCTGAGCTGTTGCTGAGAGCCATGTCTGGGTCTGTGGTTCTATTGCAGCTGGGGTCTGTGGTGTTGTCCATGGCTGGTGTTAGCATGGGCATCATTGGAACCAGGATGTGCTGAGCCAGCCCCACCCTTAACTGACCCTGGGATAGCTGGTCCTGCTTCTCAGGGGAGAGCTTGCCCCTACACTCAGGAAAGATGCCCCACACCTTACCATAGGCATGCACCTCACCTGGGAAGCACACTAGAACTGACCCTATGGTCAGAGACACAGGTGAGCCAGTACTGAGGGCATGAGAGCAGAACAGCAGACCCGTTCCTCCCTCTCTTCCCTCCCATGCTGGAGAGCTCATCCAGGCAGTGAGGGAAAGCTGACTAGCTAATCAATCCAGCTTCCACTCCGGCCCAGAGTCAGAGCTATGAGTTAGCCCACCCCAACATCCCCTGAATCTATGAACTCTTAGAGCATGCGAGGGAACAAACAGATCCAACAGATCCAACACCACAGCAGGAACTCCACGGCACAGGACAACAAGAGGAGCCCCAGGGAGCAGAAACCAGGGGCCTCAAGTCAGACCAACAACTCATGGCAATGAACGTTTGCAAACAAAGATGAATGGACTGAAGGGTAAACTGTGTGTCTTTTTTTAATTTTTTAAATTTATTTTATATAACAAAGTGCATTTAAGTGAAAACAAATATTTATAGACAATATTTTGGAATTTGGGCGTTGTTCTTTCCAAACTACTTCCTGCTGATAGGGGGCGCTATCATGGGGGATTCGAAGAAGATTCAGAAATCCTGGCTGTAGTCTGTAAGGCTGCTTTGTCCAGCTGTTTTGAATGTAGGATCACCTGGTACTCTG